AAGTATGTTTGATTAGGAACAGTCACAAGATAGAATAAGAAGAGTACAAAACGCAAGATGACTCACGGGAGTCTTCCATGCCACAGCATACATGGGTGTATCCACAGGTTCTGACTGTTCCCTCAAAAAGATCAGATGATTCGGATCGAGGAGAAGAAAGCCATCAGTGTTGCGCTCTGGCCTAACTCTCCCACCTTTGCGTCGATTTACTGTCAGGCGGGTCTGTAAAAACAGCAACATTCAAGGTAAGGTTCACTTTATTAGAGAAAACTGCATTAAAAAAAATAAGACGCTGAAAAATAGTTTCCGAATTTTTCATCCTCACCAGACGTCCATACTACTTAAGTGAACTATGTTCTGAATGGAGGTCGTCTGCATCCCAGTTACTCGATGCTCGATGCTCTCAAATGAGATGCACCTACAGCATAAGCGGTGTCATGTCTTATGCACTTCGACAGGCAGTTTATCTATCTGCCAATTTTTAAGAAGTAATAATGCACCCAGGAAGGAGTTAGAACACCAAGGCTATCTGAACGTTAGACTCAGGCAGTTGAAGGAGGAAATCAGCTTCATGTAGACTACATGGACTTTAAGAAGACATTCAACAACGTCACACATCAACGACTGCTGCGCAAACTCAGCTCAACATGAGTTCGGGGAAGTTTCCTGCAGTGGATTCAAAGCTTCCTTTTTGACCGCTCTTAAGCTGTCCATGTCGGTGACCGGCAGTCGGCTGAGGTGGCGGTCGAGAGTGGCGTTGCCAAAGGCTCCGTTCTTGGCCCTGCACTGTCCACGATGTAAGTCAGCAACTGCCTCCCTGAACTGGATTGTGATGTTGCTATGGTCGTCGATACTATTTAGCTTTGAAGCGTCATCAGAACTGCAGCTGACGAACAGCATTGGCCGGAAAATCCAAATCGACTTCAACAATGGTCGAAGGATTGGTTTTTACCGTTTAATAAAAACAAGTGTGGTTGCCTACGAGTTGGCTAACCGAGCTCGCTTAATCCAATGGTCCTCTGCCTGAATGACATACCACTGCAAGAAGTGGACGCGCAGAAGTATTTGGGAATGTTGATCAAGATGTCGCCGAAGCCCTCGCTGCACTGTTCAGAAGTAGCCAAATGTCTGCGATGTCAGTCCTGTACTTCGTCAAATGGGCTTTCTCCATCTCGGATGAAGATTGCTTCGCTAAAGTCTTTGGTACCTTTTTGTAGCCGCAACCGGAAATCCCGGAACGTGGAAGACTTCAACATCCTCGAAAAGATTCAAAGGCGCGCAACCAAAATTCTGGTCACGCATGGCCCATTACCCTATGGAACAAACCTGTCTAGGCCTGAACTGTTTCGTTTGAGTTGCAGGCAGCTGGGCGATAACCGGATAAAATTTTTTTTGAAGAGGGCTGTCTTCTATCTGGTAACTTCTTCGAGGTCCGTTACTCAAACTACGTATGAATGGGGCCAGACTGGACACAAGAAAGTTCTCCTTTTGCAACAGAGTGGTCGAAACTTCGAATGTTTTGCCAGTGAGCTAAGGTACTATTCCCGAAAAAAATTTCTGCTGTACAGGTGCTTTTCTTGGTCCTTCTGTCACTGACAGGCAGCTCAAAGGCGCTTGCTTATCGTTCTCTTCATAAACTGAACTGTTTTTTACGACAGAAAATGAGAAACGGAATGAGTAACCTATGGCTGTAGGGTGAGAAATAACAGTCAGAGGCGATTGACAATATCATAATAGCAAGTTTCATATGCATGCTGCGAAGCAGCTACTGATGGAAGGTTTTCGTGTTATGGTCAATTTAAACGCTTCGGTCGCTCTCAGAGGTTACGACCAAATGGCATATAGAAAACACCCGCTCATCACATAACACGAGCTACTAAATTTAAGAGAGTAGTAATGACCCTAGTGATATAATAACAGTAGGTTTTTAGAGAGCTTGAACTATTGACATGTGACAAAACCTAAACCTACTTACCATCCGAACTAGGGGCTTCGGTAATTTCTCCAAATCTTGAATCACAACGTCCTTGGGGGGTACTGCTCCCAGTTCTGAAGGCATGTCCGCCACGAAGGGCCATAGCTGTTGCAGTTCCACTGCCCTTCTGCTGGCCTGCCGAACAACTGCCATGGCCGCTTCAAGCTCGCGAGTGGGATTTTGTGAGCGGGCTGAATAGCGTGCCAGGTAGCCCAACAGACTCTCGTAGGAGGTGAGGTGGGCCTGCGGAATGAAGAGTTGCTCCAGGAACTGTCTGGCTCCAATAAGGGTCTCGATGTCATCGTTACCTCCAGCTGCCTTGGCATCCATATTGAAAGTCGGGGCGCTAGCGGACGGAGGAGGGGTTTCAGTGACTGGTGTCAGTTCAAAGCAAACCTCCTGGTTTTTAATGCCAATCTTCTCATAGGCATTCATCAGCTGGCTGAGATGCACCAGGTAGGCGGTGTAGTGTGCAAATTTGGGTTCCTAGGATAGATATACAAGCGATAGGTACTGAGGCTTGCCTTCAAAAGTATATTAGCTGGAGAAGTTAATGCCACCAAAGAGTTTTTCGACATTTGTAGTCAGTAAACTAAGCTATATTAAACTCTGGTGTATGAATTCTTCGGAATTATTGATAGTACTGTTTCAAGTTCTCACTAAAGAACTGCTTCTTTAAGCCCTCATACAAAGACGTATAACAGGAAGAAGGAAAACAAAGAACAAGCAAAAGGACGGAAGAAATTAGGATTCGGCAAGTATGCTTAACTATTGTATTTTTGCTAAGGATATTTAAATTCATACGTAAGAGAAGGGGAAAAGTTTGTGTTTTAACCTTTTCGATAATCGATGTGATTCGTTAACTAAAATCGGTGTACTTACACACTGCACAAGAGTCAAGCATCACTTCCAGATGCTGCAAACTCTCCTCCATTTTGCAACCTTCGCGGTGGTCTTCGAGGTCGCTATTGATGGTTATCGCGTG